ACAGCTTTTTCCCTGTATGCACTACTGTGTTGAAGTTTTCCTTCTCTATAAGGACACCAGTCACTGGATTAGGACCTGCCCTACTTACCTCATTTTACCACGATTATCTTGAAAGATCCCGTCATCAAATAAGGCCACATTTTGAGGTGCTGGAGGTTAGGACATCAACATATGAATTTCTAGGGGACAAAATTCAACTCCTCACACTCTACAGTGAAATATTATCCAGCCATGAAAAGGAACAAAGTGTTGATCCATGCTACAACATGGCTGAACCCTGAAAATATCATCCTAAGTGAAAAAAGCCAGACATGAAAGGCCACATATTGTGTAATTCACTTTATGTGGGATGTCCAGAATAGGCAAATATATGAAAGCGGCAAGGAGATTACTGATTATCTAGGCCTGGGAGTGTTGTGGGTGATAGCTAAAGGATACAGAAATTTGAAGGCTGGGGGTGAAAATGTTCTGAAGTTGATTTTGTGATGGATGCTAAAAACCATTGAGTTGTATACTTTAAAATGTATGGTATGTGAATTATATCTCAATAAAACTGTTAAAAAGGGGAAAGCTATGTCATAAAAAACGTTCAGAGTTTATTGATCAGAAAAAAAAATCTACATGGTTTCTTTAAAAAATATAGCTGAGACATGTCTGGGCCCCAGGGCCCTCCTTTTCCAGATTTGCTGGCACTGCAGGCTTTCACACACTTGATTTGCTCCATGGTAAGGTTTGTACAGAGTGCAACATATTTTTGGACAGATGAGTAGCACATTTGTTTCTCTAATTTGTTTTCCTTACATAGTTTCTGAGGGAAGTGTCCATTGGTAATCTTGTTGCCAGTTGGAAAAATTTTTATCCTTATCTGTCTGGAAAATTAAGTCTATTTTATCTTTTTCCTCAAGGTAATCTTGTCCAGGTTTGACAGCAGGTCATCTTTCTGGGGGTTCCATGCTCCTAGTGACAGAAGAAGACCCAACCACACCCCCTGCCCCAAGGATGTGTGAAGTGACACCAGACTTACTCTTCTGCTTTAATAGTAAATAAAAAAGAAGCTGAGCTATGGTTTTGTAAGATGCAACCAAAATGGAGACTAGAATGAGACTGTGCAAGGATGGTTCTGCCCTAAACTGTCTGAGAAAGGGAGAGAAACGCTCCCACCAGCAGGCACAGCACCTGTGGGAATAAACAGGAAGATTCGTGCTTGTGCTGAGTGAGGTCTGGGGAGTAATAGAAATTCTCACGAAAGGCTGCGGGATGGGGAGAGACACCTAAGGCGAGAGTTGGGCAGAGCCTATCCTGGCTTAACTGGGGGCAGGAAGTGTCCAGAAGCATAGGGAGGTTTTTGTCAACTAAGGAACAGTGCTGATGTGGCAAGAAGGAGAACAGGGCAGGGCATGGAGCCCAGAGGGAAGATGGGGGTGATCCCCAACATCAGGTAGAGTGAGAGTGCACAGACAGTCATGGTCCTGTCAAGGCCAAGGGTATTTGGAGGGGCCTGTGGTTCTGTAGTCTCCCACTGTCTACCTAGGAGATGGCTGTAACCTAGCCCTGGGGGTAGAGAGAGGAACTTTAGGGGGGCTTCTCCATAGAGGCCAGGAGAGGAAGGGGCTTCAGGAACAAGATAAGCAGCAGTGCCGGCCTTTGGGGTTGGCCTGTCCTCATCTTCCCTCTGTTCACTTTCACATCTTCGTGTTTTGTAATGCAAAGTTCATTTGGATACTTGTAGCCTCTTTTAGTTGCACTAAAGGCATCAAAGGAAGGGGGTATAGCTTTTGTCCACATTTAGGCTGCCATTCTACAGGGCAGCTGGGCGTGAAGGGAGCACTAGCTGCAATGAGAAAGTGGGAGAGGAGAAACTCAGTGGAGGTGGGGGCGGTGTTGCACAGCAGCTCCCCCCAGACAAATATTCTGCTGCCAGACACAACCTTCCTATCATCAAGGATGGAAAACTGAGGCTGGAGAAATTCTTTACAAACAAACCTTGTTATACGAACCCATCTTCCTGAACACATCTCTACCCGATTAGCTCCCTAGCCCAAGCCCCTTTGTCTTTCCTCATTTTCACAACTTACTATGCTTTGTCCAATTCAGTACAGAAGTAACAGACTCTTAACGGCTTCTTTGGGGCTTCATTTCAATATGAGGTCACATAAAACTCCTGTGCCACATAAAACTTGTATTAAGTGAATTTGTTATGTTTTTTTCCTGTTAATCTATCTTATATCAATTGAATTCTTGAGCTCAGCCAGGACCCCAAGGGAATGGAGGTGCAGTTCTGCCTCCCCTCCAGTTTCTGGTGATAAGGGAGGGACCCTAAAAGGCAGGGATGCCCACTAGCTCTGCAGCTTGGAGATGGGACTGCGAAGACTGACAAAAGATGGTAGAAAGTAGGAAATCTTACCCAGTCAGCTCTTCGATCTCTGTCTGTAGTGGCCAGTTGAGAAAGGGAGGTAAACATCGTTCCTCGTCTTTTCCTTTCCAATTCAGATTGGTAGGAGAAAACACTTATAAGAATTAATTCTTCAAATTGTGACTTTTGTGAATTTGGTTCTGAGTACCCATTGGTTATTGAACACAGCCTCCCAGGAACGGTCCTTGTTCTTCTTGTCTCTGTCTTTTGTGTAGTTTGTCATAAGAAGGAATATCACAAGATGTTGCTTTCATCTTGTTTTATGTCTTGAGAGTTTAGCTTGGGGACCAGTGAGGATATTCTCTGTGGTCTTCGCTAGCAGAAGTCACAGGTCATCAGGCTTGCTTCAGGTGGCTAACCAACTGGCTAGGAGTCCGGAACCAAAGTATCTCTTTGTCCCACTGTGCCAGTTCTTAGGGGAGTTTGTCTTAATTGTCTCAACTTCATTGCCTTGTTTAAAAAAAGGTCTGGTTGGCCGGGCGCGGTGGCTCAAGCCTGTAATCCCAGCACTTTGGGAGGCTGAGACAGGTGGATCATGAGGTCAGGAGATCGAGACCATCCTGGCTAACACGGTGAAACCCTGTCTCTACTAAAAAATACAAAAAAACTAGCCGGGCGAGGTAGTGGGCGCCTGTAGTCCCAGCTACTCGGGAGGCTGAGGCAGGAGAATGGCATAAACCGGGGAGGCGGAGCTTGCAGTGAGCTGAGATCCGGCCACTGCACTCCAGCCTGGGCGACAGAGCGAGATTTCATCTCAAAAAAAACCAAAAAACAAAAAACAAAAAAAGGTCTGTTTATTCTTAGGCTATCTTTGGAGCAATTTGGATGCCAAGACGGACAGTGAGTTTTTGCACCCTCTCTTGGAGGCACTTCTTGAGCCCATGGTTAAGTGATAAGAGGCTTCTTGGTTTTAAGCCATGAAAAGGCTTGTTGGTTTGAGTCACAATTGAAATAGGTATACTTTTGAAAATTCAGACTTTTGTATCTAAAGGGGTTTTGTTGTTGTTGTTTGTTTGTTTTGTTTTGTTTTGAGAGACAGAATCTCGCTCTGTTGCCCAGGCTGGAGTAGAGTGGCACAATCTCGGCTTACTGCAACCTCCGCCTCCCGAGTGCAAGCAATTCTCCTGCCTCAGTGTCCCAAGTAGCTGGGACTACAGGCGTGCACAACCACGCCCAGCTAATTTTTGTATTTTTTAGTAGAGATAGGGTTTCACTATATGTTCCAGGGTGGTCTCGAACTCCTGACCTCGGGTGACCCACCCGCCTTGGCCTCCCAAAGTGCTGGGACTACAGGCGTGAGCCACTGGACCCAGCCAGTTGTTTGTTTTTAAAGAGTGCTCTCATCCTAAGCTGTCCTATTGGGTACCTATGGGAAAATCAAATTAAACGACACAAAATAATTTAATGGCTACCCTTAGCGATTCCCTTAGCAAGATTAAAGAACACAATCAGACAGACTTAGAACAAAAGTTCAATCCACACCGCTATAAATTTTCCCTGGGTGGTGAGACTGCAAAAGCACTTATGTCACCAAAGCCCGGGACTTGGCAGGGGGCCCCAGCGCGGAGGCTGCAGCCCATGCTGACCAAGAAGGCTTGGAGCATCTCACGATCATGAAAGAGCCTCCACCCCCATGCAGGAGGTCCCTGGAGGCAGGTCTGGAACTCCGTCCAGCCCTCGGGGTGGCAGTGCCTTAGCGACCCTAACTACGAGCTCCAGGAACAGGCGAAACCTGCCGCACTCGGCTCCTAGGGGCCCCAATTCTGACAAAGGGAGGCTCCTTGTCTTTGATGGGCTTAGATCTGGAACCAACCAACCAGAGAGGAGAAAGAAAACGGATTCAAAGACAGGAAATAGAATCGGCTAAAAGCAGCGTTTAATAACCGCGTCCTGGCGAGGGAAGGGAAGGGAAGGCGCCGATGCGAGGCCCGTGTGACTGAGTCGCGTCCCCTTGCCCTTCCTGTGTAATGGGACCAAGGAAGAAGCACCGTCCTACTGCCTGGGGCTCCTGCCTGCCCAGCCCCTCCCCTCCAGGTTTCCCAGCGCGGGAGCTACGGGGCAAGTGCACTGCCTCGCCGCTCCACACTCGCTTGAACGCGTGAAGAAATCCTCGTCAGACTCAGCTCCGGGCTGGGAGGGTCCAGCCCGGAGAGTCCCCGACGCAGCAAGCTGGCCCCAGCCCGGGTGGCGGTTCGCACCCACGCACGTCCAGCCGGGGTCACCACCTGGAAGCGCTGCATCCCATCACCTGCCTCGGGTCCTTCCAGTGCCCACCGAATCCTCTGCCCAGTTACGGGGAGGATAGTACGGGGTGTGGGGAGGAACTCACAGCACCCTGGAAAACAAACTTTATGCACCCTGAGGGCACCAGGACCCTCTAGCAGCAACGCGCCTCAAGTTGCTGCAGAGGCTGCAGAAGGTACATCTAGCCCTGTCTACATGGGCTCCTTGGGCGGAATGGAACATCTCACTTTCCAACCCGAGCAAATCCAAGCCTCCTGCGAACACCGCCGTCCCCAACAGCAACAAATTCATCCATCCCAGATTCGCCACCAGGGTGCGACGGTTCTGACCCTGCGGGCCTTACCCCTTGGCTTGCAGTGTTGACGCTGGACTGTCCGAAGGCTTTTGGCAAAGTTGATTCCCAAGCGTGTTTACTGTGGAAGGGTGAACAGCCACCAAAGACACCACCTGCAACACAAGAACACAGGAGGTTAAGAGCCACGTTTCTTTTCTGAATTAGGGGTAAAAGTGAGAGTTTCAGGAAGATGATGCTTATAATTAGAAACTCTTAACTTTCCCCCACTTTTACCTTTTTAGATCCTTGGTTCAATTGCAAATACCTCCATTAAGCTTAATTGCCAGTTTTTTAAAAGGGACGGTAGGGGCTGCATTGGCAGGACTCACTTGTTCGTTCCCATAGGTCTTGTTCATTCCTCCCTGGGCACTGCCTGGCTGGGACTCAGGCGTCCCGGCATATCGCCGACTGCTCTGAGCCCCTCTGTGGCTGCCTACTAGGGAGAGTGCTGGAGGAACTGTGTGATCCAGAAATAACAGCTCTTAAAAGTCTATGTTTCTATGATAATTACAGAATAGAATTTTAACATTGGAATTAACTTTTATCCCAACATTTCTCTATATAGTTGCAAAACTAGTTCAGAAATCTTAATGATCCACTTTTCCTTAAGAAGAAGAATTGCATTTCTGTTTCCAGAAAGAATGCCTTGTGAAGAAGCTGCCACCTCTTTAAATACACAGATCACAAAGCAAGTGGGAAAACAGATCTACATAGACATACAAATATTTATTCCTTCCACAAATGGAAGGATGCTAAGAGTGTTCTGTGTACCCGGTGCCATTCTTGGTCCTTGGGATATAACAATGAATCAAGATCTGGAAATATTTTATTCTACATAATAAATAATAAAATAAAGTAGAAGTGATAAAATTTTTTAAATGGCATTAGAGGGCAGAGAGGAAATAAACAAGGAAATCTGTAAAATAGGTTGTGGCACTTTGGAAAACGAGGCAGGAGGCAGGGTGGTTGGGAAAAGCCCTGGAAGGGGATCTGTGGGTGGAACCCAGAGGAAGTCGAGCAGCAGGCATAGCCTGGGAGGCCAGTGAAGTTGGGAAATGCCCGACACCCTTGAGTGAAGAACAAGATAGACTGAAGAACAAGATAGATTTTCAGGTCATTACAACTGCAGGAAAGGAGAAATCTCTGTTCCTGTCAAGCTCCGAACCACTCTGATCTCTCTACAAAAGACCAGCCCTGGCCTGGTGCAGTGACTTATGCCTGTAATCCCAGCACTTTGGGAGGCCAAGGAGGTGGATCACCTGAGGTCAGGAGTTTGAGACCAGCCTGGCCAACATGGTGAAATCACATCTCTACTAAAAATACAAAAATCAGCTGGGCGTGGTGGCAGGCGCCTGTAATTCCAGCTACTTTTGGAGGTTGAGGCAAGAGAATCACTTGAACTGGAGAGGTGGAGGTTGCAGTGAGCCGAGATGGCACCATTGCCTGGGCAACAAGAGTGAAACTCCATCTCAAAACAACACACACACACACACACACACACACCAGCCTTTTCCAGGACCGCCCACCTGTTGCTGTGGGGGAGGATGGGGCTCACATCTTCCTCCCACAAAGGTTAACACCAGGACAATATTTTCCTTCGTTTCCACCAATTCCATCACAGTAACTTCCAAATAATAAGACATTCAAATATCTTCAATTTAGATCAATCTGAACTTTCCTATTGGGGTCCTTTACAACTCATGCATTTTAAAGAAGTCTATTGCTTTTTATGCATTTTTAAGCAATAGGCTTCTTTAAAATGCATTAATGAATGAATTTTGTTTCTACACAGAAACACTGAATAATTTCTCATAATAACCTCAGTTGTATGCACCTGACATATTTTCAGAAAAAAAAAAATAATAACCTCAGTTGACCAGGACAGATGGGAAGTTCCTAGAAAGATATTCACTTTTTAATTCAACTAAGTAAATACCAATATTTTTACCATTGAATACCAAAACATATTTAAATTATTTTCTATAACTAAAATAGGATTATTTTCTATAACTAAAGTAAGATTATCTGCTTTGGGATTTTTATTTTCTTCCAAAAAAATAAAGATCTGTATCTTTAAAAAAACAAGTATTTACTTTTTAATTGTTATATATGTGAAAGACTTTTTGATTTTAGAACACTTAATTGACAAAGATTGTATATATTTAAGGCATACAACATGATGATATATGTTTAAACATATATATTATGTAATTGTTACAGTACAGGGGTCCGGATCCAGACCCCAAGAGAGAGGTCTTGGATCTCGAGCAACAAAGAATTCAGGGCAAGTCCACAGTGCAAAGTAAAAGCAAGTTTAATGAGAAAGTAAAATGGTGAAAGGACAGCTACTCCATAGACAGAGTAGGGCCTTCCTGAAAGTAAGAGGAAGAACGCATGCACCCTATGTACAATGCTGCTATATATATAGGATAAAAATAGATCTCGGGGCGATGTGCTCTGCTACGAGGGTTTGTGATAAAGGATTAATTTTCATAATTACTATCTTTTGCAAGGATCAATATTATCTTTAAAGTAAAATTAGGAATGCCTTTGTTCTCCAGATATCAGGGTATCTGGACACTCCTAAGTCTGGGTCTGTTTTAGTAAACATTATTAATCTGTTCCCTTTACTGTAAACATCTAGAGGCTAGGAATGCCTGATTTTCTGGGAATGCAGCCCAGCCAGTCTCAGCCTCATTTTCCTAGCCCTCACTCAAAATGGAGTCGCTCTGGTTTGAAAGCCCCTGACATAATGATTACTAGTGAAAGCCATTTTCAAAAACAAAAATAAAGTTACTTTGCAGTGAGCAATTTAAAATACAGTTAGTCAAATAGACTTCACATTCAGATTCATGTACAGATGAGTAAATAGTAAGTTTTCAACAATACTAAACTGATTAATAAAAAAGAAATATGACTTTTTTTTCAATTTGCAGATGATTTCTTCATTTCAATGAATTTGAAGAAGGAAACAGAACCCTTTGAGTTCACAGAAGCTTGTGGAGGGAGTCATCACTGTCACCATCAGCAGCTCAGGCAGTTCTTACCATGACATGGTCGTATTTCAAAGCTTATTTTTGTTGTTGTTGTTTTGAGACAGATTCTGGCTCTGTCACACAGGCTGGACACGATCTCGTCTCACTGAGGCTTCAACTTCCCAGGCTCAAGCGATCCTCCCACTACGGCCTCCTGAGTAGTTGGGACTACAGATGTGTGCCACCATGCCTGGCTAATTTTTGTTTTTGTTTTTGTTTTGTTTTGTTTTTTGGTTCAGAGATGAGGTTTCTCCACATTGCCCAGGCTTTAAAGCTTATTTTCTATGTCAAGTATTTGGAAGTCAGAACATCTTGATCCACAGGAACCAGGCAACATCCTGTGTGGCTCGACCTGTAGGGCAGCCACAACAGCCACCCACCGCACAGGACAACAGCAGCAGCACCCCAGAGCCACGGGTACAAAACAATGCACCTGGAGTCCCAATCTGGGGTTCTCATTTTCTGCCCCAGAAGCAGGAGTGAGGAGAACTGGAGGTGCCAGGTGACCGGCAGATCTGTGAGACAGAAGTGGAGTTGAGACCCCCAGAGAGGACTGGCTGTCTTCCCATCTGCTCTGCCCACAGGCTGACCAGTTGGCCTCTAAGCCACCTGTCAGTCCATCCTGGGTCTTTCCCTTCTGGCCTCTGAGCCCAACACAATGAGGCTCGAGTATGTATTTCCAAGGGTTTTCCCAGCTAGAAAAGAGAAAGAAAAAAAGCAGAAGGAAAAGGTCTATCCATGGTACTCAGGGCAGAATGAGTCAATCCCCACAGAAATTCCAAGGTTCCCTTAGCTTCCCCACCTGTCTCCACCAGCCACCTAGACAAGCCCCAAATTAGCTGTAGGTAAGGAGTTTTTCAACCACTGAGGACCTGCCAAGCACAGAGTGGCCCTCTAAGGCTAGATGAGAACAAAGACCTCTGAGCACCATGCCAAAATCCAATCCAGCACAATCCAGAAATGTCACTGACCATACAAACTCCGCACAAGACACAGGGTGGGGCATTTGCATAAGACAAAGGGTATGTGCATTAGTGACAAAGAGGTGAACAAAACCCAGTCTCTTTCAGGGTGCAAACCTCTCACTAGCATTTCAGATGGGAAGCTCCCAAGGCACACCAGCCTACCCACCAGATTATAGCTATGCCCCTTTCTCCTTTGGACACAGGGCACCTCAGGCCATACCCCAGGAGTGCAGGTTAGGATGGGCTGCTGACTTCTAGGTACTGGGTGCTTGGTGAGCCTTTTGTTTCTACTGAGTGAGAAGAAATACAAAGAATAATATTACAGACAGTCTTATTCCAGTACACCTAAAATTAATTATTATCATTATAGCATATTTGCTTCAATTTTCCTAAAGAAAAAAAACAACAAGGACTAGAGCTAAAAGTACAGTTCCCCAACATCCTCAGGCCCAGCCCTACCCCTGTCTTCCACTCTGCATCCCCTGCAATGATCAGGGCCCTGATGGACATGCTTAGTCCATTTTAAATATTTTTCCAGGCATGAATATGAACCTAAGAACAATATAAGGATTGTTTTTGTGCCTTTAAAATTTAGAAAAAATATATACATTTTATACGTTCTGCAATTTTGTTTTTCTTTTTTGAGACAACGTCTTTCTCTGTTGCCCAGAGAGGAACAGAGTAAGTGAGAGAGAGTGGTACAATCACAGTTTACTGCAGCCTCAACGTCCTGGGCTCAAGTGATCCTCCTGCCTCAGTATCCCGAGTAGCTGGGACTACAGGCTTGTACCACCACATTCAGCTAAATGTTTTAATCTTTATGTTTTATAGACAGAGATCTCACTATGTTGTCCAGGCTTGTCTCAAATTCCTGGGCTCAAGCAATGCTTCTGCCTCGGCCCCCCAAAGTATTGGGTTTACAAGCATGAACCACCATGCCCGGCCTGTGTTCTGCAGTCTTGCTTGGATTGTCTCTGAGACTTGTCTAGTTAATTTCCTTTAATGCTATTGTGTTATTCAATTATAATGAAATGATTATATAAATATAGATGTTAAATGAAATGCTGTGTTTTACTTCTGAACTGCTCATGTGCAGGTTTCTCTCAGGCACGAA